TTTCCAGGAGAAGAAAACTACTCTTGAAATAGAAATTCTTGTCTTAGCAGTGTGAGAATGATGGCAGAGGCACCAAGTGCCTTTCACTGTGGAATTGGATGGGATGTGTAATTATCTGAGCTGGTGGGAGTCCTGTGTTTTTTAACTTGCTTGCGTTTCTCTGTCGCCATGAGCCTGACAGTGATTCCACTCACTGTGTTATATTTTTACAATCTGTTTTGTCAGTCCTCAGGTTGTTTTTTTTTTTTTTTTCTGTAAAACTTTTTTTGCCCTAATCTTTAGGATTTTGGTGGCTTTACATTCTCTTTGGCTTCCAGTGATCATGGGTCAGATGCACACTTGCTGTAATACTCAATTTTATTGCCTGTCCAGCTTTTCCTGGTGGGTTCTTTCCAGTAATACATTATTTCCTTGACATATTTGCAGCTGGTCTACATCTAGATAGCAAGCTGAAATGTTCTTTAAGTATCTCAAAAATAAATCTACACCTCAGCACCTCTTGAGCAGCTTTCTAAACTTTGTTCTGGCTGTGTGCAAGCAGCACAGACACTTTGGGCGGAAAGGCCACTTGCTAAGCAGAGAATGAGCATAGAAATCTCCCTTCTCAGGGAAGGTGAAAGGTTGGGATGGTTGCAAATGATCCCAATTAAAGAGGAGCTACTGGGTAACTGATGCCCTTGGCCAAGTGTAACAATTTGAAGAAGAGAGATTGCAGTGACCAAATGCTTTGGAGAGGTGAGTTTGCTGCAGGGACACGATGAAAACAGCTGCCAAAGATTAAGGAGCAGTTTTAGAGAATGGGAGGTGGAATGGAGGCAGGAGATGAAGACAGAAGGAAAATGGGCTGTAAAATTCAGAAAAGGGACAGTTGAAGCGAAGGCAGACAGTGGGGGGGGCCCGGCAGGAGCCCTGGGGATGACAGAGTGCCAGGGAAATCCTGCCAGCACACCCAAGGTCAGCCCAACCTCCAGGCCAACTGCCAAGTGCATGGCAGCCCGTGGGAGGCAGGGTTATGGCCATGCAGGGTTTGGAGCAGGTACAGGTGCAGGATGGCAGAGGATGGCACGTCTGTGCACTCCTCGTGCCCAGGAACAGGTTCTGGGGCGTAGCAGGCAGATTTAGGACGCTCATCAAGAGGTGACTGGAAGCTTTTCTCTCCTGGCAGGGCTGGGCAGTGTGTCCACGCTGAGGGTGCACTCTGCCCTGCTCACTCCTGGGGACAGAACTGGTGCTGGAGTGTTCTGCCTTCAAACTCCTTGTGTGACCTTGCACATATCAATAGCATCTAAAATCCAGCTGTAGACAGCATCCACATCTTTGTGTTTACTTCTCACTCCAAAAATGATCCTTTAATGTTTCCTGATTTCAGCGCACAGTGAAGCTCAGCCAGAAAAGGTGGCCAGGAGGATAAATGTAGGTCTGGACATCTATTTAGGTTTCCAAATGCACCTTGAATAGCAGGCTGGAGTGACACCAGTGAAGATCCTAGATCTTCACAGACCCTCTTGCCTTTGGGTTTCCAGTATCATCAAACCCCAGCCCACTCAGTACCCTGCAGCCTTCTCCTTGTAAAACAAGGCCATTATTGCAGAGTATGGGGCTGGACACACCTGTGGGGTTATTTTGAATGAAAAGACCTGGGAGGGCAGCAACCCTCAGCAGCTCTGTAATGTGTTGTGCACAGAGCACGTGGATGGGGTTTATCTCCTGGAGGAGACTGTCAAAGATGGGAATTTTCCTTGGAAGATGAGCCTGTGGAGCTGCGTGTGGTGGGGAGGAGGGCTGGGAGAGGTGAAGCTGAGCCTGTGTGCTGTGAGCCCAGCCCTGCACTCAGTGTTCCTCTCCTGCAAAGTGTGGTTGCACAAGGCAGCTCCTGGAGAGCTCAGAAGCTGGAGCATGAACTGGGGGAGCCTGGCTGGAGGTTGCCCCACGGGGGAGGCTGGGAGCCCACCCCATCCTCGTTACTGCTGACCTTGGCACGAGCACTGCCTGCTGATGGATCGGCTCTGGAGCTGGACAAGCCCCTGGGGAACCACTGCATTATCTGTTATGTTCCATCAGTGCCTCCCCTGACCCCTCCCAGCTCCAAATGCCACAGGCATCAGGGAAGGAATAAATCTCTGTCTGCTACTGAGAGAGAGAAGGGAACGAGAGCAGGAAAAAGGAGAGATGAAAAATGTCCTTTTTATGACTCTCACAACAAAGCTGGCCACGTGATTCGTAGCAAACATTACTCTGGGAAAAGGGAGGGAGAGAATGGGGGGGGGGAATCAGCAAAAAGCAATGCTGCTTCTCTCCCCTGGAAGGTGCCCAGGGGGAATATAGAGGGGTATGGGTGACCTTTGAAGGTAAATATCCCAGGAAAAGAAAGGAAAGAGGCCTCAAAGCTTCAGAGAGCTTGCCGCAGTGTCTGAGGCTGCCTGGTGGAATGCTGCACACACCGTGAGCAGAAAGCAGAGGCACAAGTGATCTGAGTTAGAGCAGCAGCAGGGCCAGGCAGTGATTAACAAGGCACTAATAGCAACCACAGCTTTGGTTCTTGTTTCTGTTTGGGATGATCCAGGAGAGCTCCAACCTGTGAGCCTAGGGAGAGCTCCTGACCCTGGTGCCTCCAGGAGACAGAAGCCTTTAGCAGCACAGCCCAGGGCCTGAGGAGGGGCTGGAGATGAGTTGCCAGGGCTCAAGAAGCCTCTTGCCCATTACCCACCAACCCCAGCCACGTTCCTGTGACAGTTATTTGGATTATTTGAGTTATTTGGTTTACCAGGGAAGCAGCCCAGCCCTGAGGCTGTGGGCTGGCACCAGCTGCAGTTCCCACTGTGCAGAGAGCTGCAGACTGGGCAGGGTCTGCATTGGGATTCTGGGCTGTCCCAGAGCACCCCATCATCAGGCAGGGTGTCTCAGCTGCATCCAGTGCCATGGGAAAGCACCTTTGCTCTCTGGCCTGCTCAGCCACCGTGAGGAGTGCTGTCAGTGCTGGGGGATGACAGGCAGGTGCTGTTCTTGCTGAAAAATTCACTGCACCCGAGATGTTGATCAGATCTGTTATTTCTTAAAGACATGAAGTGCTTGGAGTTGTGAAAAATTACCTTTTGCCACTCTTTTTTTCTGCCCCCAGACAAGCATGTGCCTCACTTGTGAGCACCTTCCCAGGAAGCAGCACTGAGATCAGTCAAACAGGGCTTGGAGTCCAAACCCAACTGAAATCCATTGACAACCAGGTCATTTTTAGGAAGATGGGTCTTGCTGTAACCAGAGATCAGCTTGTCCTGGGAATGCTCACTAAAGCTGGTCTCTCTAACTTGCCAGTCATGGAAAAGTGTGTTAAACTCCCACTTTTACCAAAATGGCTGTAACAACTCCTTGATAATCCCAGTAATTTGGTTTTATCTATAACGTGCTTTTAAAGTAAAGGGATACATACAATCAGTCTGCATAAAAGGTAGCTATTAAGAAGAAGGCAAGTTGTACAATAATAACTTTCAATTAAAAGCCCTTTCTCACTACTTCTGCCATTGTGGGGTCTGCAGATTTTCCTTAAAACTTTTGAAGCATGCCTGGGCTTCTTACAGGCAGCCATTTAACCTCCGTTTATGAAGAAATAAAGCAAAATTGATGTTGATTTTGGCCTGCATTGGGGGATACTTTTGCAACATAAAAGCCCTTTTGCCTGCAATTTGCAGAGCAGCCCTGTCACATGGATAAGGGCTGATACTGATAAAGATAAAGCTTTATGGCTGGGGCATTTGCAGCTAACAGCAAGCTAATGCTACATTTTCATTTTGATGCAATTAATGTTAATGTCTGCTACGAAAATTGTCATTAAATACCATTTTAAAATCCATTCAATTTGCATATGCAAAGCCCATTTACTATCATGTAAAATACACGGTGCCGTTCATCATGTCTTTTCTCTAGAATTTGTAGCTGTTATTTTTCTGGTAGTGATTATTATCTAGCTCTTAAAATAAAACCTAATGTCTGGTCCAGACCTGCACAGAGCAAGAAACCCCCTGGGCTCCAGCAGTAGCAGGACTTTCAGAGGCTTTGAGCACTGGTTTGTGCTGGAGTTACACTGGCAGGGAGAAGCTTCTTTGCCTCTTTCCTGCTCCACTCCCAATTTCTGCCCAATGCAGAGCAATAAACTAAGTGGGAGAGAGTAGGATAAAGAACTTTGAACTGATCTTTAACTCCACCAGAGTATTTCTACTAATGCAGACAGGTAGAAATGCTGTTCCTCTGATTTTCTCACCCTGAGATGCCAATTTTCTGGCTTATAGCTCTTCATATTCCTTTAGATTAAAGGGTTGGCATTGAAGATATTTTTAAGAGGCTTCAAGCCCATAATACTATGTGGCATTCACATTTTCTGGAAAATCCCTTTGCCTGGGATTTTTCTCCTGGGAAGCTGAGAAGCCTCAGAGAAAAAGGAAAATGATAATTATCTGATTTGCTTCTCCTGTGTTTTGCTCCTTTGGAATGTGTTTGGACATTGTTTACCAACAGCTGATTGTTTCATTGGTTTCTGCTGTGAGTTGTTTGGACTCAATGGCCAATTGGGGCCAAGCTGTGTGGAGACTCTGGAAAGAGTCACGAGTTTTCATTATTATCTTTTTAGCCTTCTGTAAGTATCTTTTCTGTATTCTTTAGTACAGTTTAGTTTAGTATTCTTTTATGTAATATAGTATCATAAAATAATAAATTAGCCTTCTGAGAACATGGAGTCAGATTCATCATTCCTTCCTACCATGGGGCACCCCACAAATACAATAACACTGCAGGTGAAATGAGGCTGTGTTGTGGCATGTATGTTAGATTCAGGTAGTTGATTATCTGACAGGAGTGCCATCAGACACGGATGTGATGCTGTCACTCAGCATATCCAGGTTCAGGACACTTCTGTTTTGGGGCCTGTGGTAGCTGAGATTGGGCAGGGATGTAGGTGTGAGGGTAGGAAGGGATAATTTCTTGCTGAGGAGGGCCCAAACCTTCCCCCTTACCGTGGTGGCCTGCCAAAGGTCATGCCTGGAGGTGCCTTGCCCCCATATCTGAGGATGCCCTTGTCCTTGCAGCGGATGTCCATGTACTTGTAGTACAGAGCAAACTCCCGGGCTGTGGTGCAGCCCTCGTCCACAGCTGCACGGCCCATGGCCACGAAGTCCCGGGGCATGACCCTTTTATGGGGCTGAGACTTGGCCTTCACCGAGTCCCAGTGGCCTATGGCTGGAGATGGAAATAGAGACAAAGAGGAGAAAGAGAATCTTGGTTAGCTCCTTTTGGGAAAGCAGATTAATATGTGTGCACAGAGAATGGGGGTCTTATGGAGCTAAGATTCATGGCCACAAAGTCTCAGGGCATGACCCTTTTATGGGGCTGAGCCTTGGCCTTCACCGAGTCCCAGTGGCCTATGGCTGGAGGTGGAAGGAAGCAGAGACAAAGAGGGCAAAGAGAATCTTGGTTAGCTCCTGTTCGGGAAAGCAGATTGATGTGTGTTCACTGTGCATCGGGGTCTTGTGGGGCTAAGATTCATGACTACAAAATCTCAGGGCATGACCCTTTTATGGGGCTGAGCCTTGGCCTTCACCGAGTCCCAGTGGCCTATGGCTGGAGGTGGAAATAGAGACAAAGAGGAGGCATCTTGGTTAGCTCTTTTTGGGAAAGCAGATTGATGTGTGTGCACTGTGCATGGGGATCTTGTGGGGCTAAGGTTCCTTTTGTGACCTTCATACCCCATCCCACTGCATCCCATATCCCATGTGAATCGGATGTCTTCTCACCCTCTACCCTGGCTGGCTCAGGATTTTACAGGGAAATCGTCCCTGAGAGCACAAAGCAGGAGCCCTGACAAAGTTATGACAGTGCCCAGGTGCATCACCTTTTGCAGGTGCATCCTCCCTGCTTGGGCTTTGTGTGAGCCTCTGAAAGTTTCCAGTGTGACAGAGAAACTTCACTGGTCACCAAGAAATTGGGGTGGTATCAATGAAAGTGGGTAAGTGTTGGAGTTCTGCACTTCTAGCTTGATGAGAAGTATTGAAGAGCCATGGGAAGGAGAGGAGACTTCCTACTAGCATTAGGACTTTGTTGCAGGTCTGTGGTTTAGGGGCAGTGCCCTACCTTCAGGAACTCCTCCATCTCTCTTGTGCATGTATATCCCATAGGTAAAATCAGGGCCTGGCAGGGAGTAGCAGTTTCTCATGGGCTTTCCAAGTTCTGGCTGCAGAAATAGGAATAGAGAAGCACATAGAGCGTTAATAGGGAAACATAAAGACCTTTTCTGATAAGATAAAGCCCCTGAAAACAGAAGTTTGTAATAAAACACAGCCACAAGTACCAGGAGTGTCCATTTGGCAAGGGCTTGAATCCCACTGCACCAAGTGAGTGCCACAGTGCAAAAAGGAACTGAAGTCTAAAGAATGCTGAATTTCACACAAGTTGGGTTTTGAGTTATAAAGAGACCTAGCCTTGCTGGAAGGAGGGATCCTGACTCAAGAGATATGAAGTCTTGTTTGGTTAATCTCTCCTTTGGTGAGAATGCCCAACTGTGGTGTCTGCTGGGGAGACAGCAGATAGTCTTAACTTTATGCTGAGTTATTTCATTTCCAAGTTGTGCATCTTCCCAGAAAACTGATGTAAACTTCCCCAGGCACAATCACATGGCTGTTTCTGCCTGGGAATAATCAAGACACAAGGCATGCTGCAGGAGAAGGGGGATGAAGAAGGGAGAGCAGAGCCTGGGCTTTATAGCACAGAAAACAACTTCAGCTCAATAACATAATTTCCATTTAGTTTTCAAATGAACTCTTCCCCAGCTCATGTGTGTCCCAGCCTGGTGGTGTCTGTGGGATTAACTGACCTCCCCTCACCCTTTTGTCTCCACTCTCCCATCTCCATGGTGAAGTCACTGCAGGATGTGTGTCTTGAAACCTCATTGCTGCTTGAAAGGGAGGGAGGGGGAGAGAGCCTGGCACAGGAAAAGCTGGAGCAAAGTCCCCAGGAGCCCTGAGGGCAGGATGTGGCTGCTTTGGGACAGGTTATTTTCCATGGGAATGGTGTTAGGAGAGCTGGGGCATTGTAGGTGTTGGCAGGTCTTGTTGGGAGAATGGAAGTGCTGAAATACCACTCTGGTGCTTCTCATGGGTGAACACTGACACTGAGATGACCATTATCACACTGCAGAGTGAACACTCTGGGTCAGGAGCTGCTCAATCAAACACAGCCCTTTCTGCAGAGACACGGTGGAAAGGAAGCAGCAAAGGAGCCACCTCCAGCTTCCCACCATGGCAGGCTCAGGCTGTGCAGGCTGATAAAGACCCAGCTTACTGGAGCTGCTTGTGTAGGAGCATTGTCCACACCACAATTCTCCTTTAACTCCCAGTCAGCACCGTGCAAGCCCTGGCCAGGGCCTCAGAGCAGCCATGGCTCCCCTGTACACTGCCAGCATGGTGGCTGCTTTCCAGTGTGCTCTTCTGCACCACCCTCAGCTCAGGCAGAACTCTCACTGAGCCAGTTTTGCCTGGAGAGTGAGGGTTAATAACCCCAGCCCAGAACAGGCACCCTTCCAGAGGGCTCTGTATTGAGGTCTCTAAAATGTGCTTGTAATTCCTCCAGCTTTTACACTTCACACTCTAAAGGAGGTGTGGCATTTCCACTGCTCTCAAGAGCGCAAATTCCCCAGAAAATGAGTTTTAGGGACCTGCCCTGTGTGAAGCTGCAGCTCCTTTGTTGCAAACAGCCCTTTCTAAAAGCCATCGACCCAGGGACATGATGCCAGCACAGCTGCATTTCCCCACCTGTCCCCTATCCAGCCCCAAGTTGGGGGGGACTGAGTGGGGTTTTAGTGTCACCAGGGCTGTGGTGGCAGTGACAAACCCCGTGTGCACTCTGTGTGAGCCAGGAGCTCGTGCAAAGCACTGCCAGCCACGATAAAGGAGCTTTCATTGCTGATCTGCTCCTCCTGTATTTACAGCTGTTTTTAGGTGGGTTGGCACTGGTGTGCAAGGAAATGGTGTAATGTTCCTCAGATGCATGAGAAAAGGCATTTTCCTGGGATCACGTTCTGGTAACGGATCAGGGAAGTGAGGTCAGAAATCTGCTGTGATGGCAAAGGTGTGTCAGATGGGAGAAGAATCACAGACAGGGCAGGAGAGAGGTTTGTAACCTGTGGCAAAGCTGCTTCCAGACCCTCGAGTGCAGAACTCTGAAATTACAGGATTTAAAGAGTCCCTTCTGCAGAGCACCTGAAGCTAACACAGTTGGGTGTTTACTCCATCACAAAATGAGTGCAGGCTGTTTCCTTTTATGATCAGGTGGCATTTTACAGTCACTTTGCACTGAATAAATAAAGCTGAAGGTGCTGGATAATTAATTAAAAAAAAAAAAAATCTGGTCCAATATGTTTAACATGGAGAGAATCTGTGCCTGAAGAAAAATCAACGAACTCAGAGGATTCTGGTTGCCTGCCAACATTTTTTACCTACAAAAGCAAAGAAGGGGAAGGATGTAGCAGGAATGAATCCTGCTCGGTGTAATCCACAATTACAGCCTTTCTCATTCATAAATTAGCAAAATCTTGTTTCCAGCTCATGGGCTGGTTTCATTTGTTTTTCCTGAGGCATTATAGGTATGCTCTGTCATAAAGCAGTGGGGAAACTGAGCCAAAGTTGATGCAGAAGGTATTTTTTTTCTTTCTTTCTCCCCCAGTTCCAGCACCGTTCCCTGTGTTCAGGTTTAGCCTGTCACAAAGCTGCTTGGCTGGAATACAGATCTGTCTGACAGCTGTGCCCATCAGCAGACAACTTCATTAAACCTCATTAAGATGTCATTTCTCTGCCTTATTTCCCACCTCTTGGCTCTAATTAAAACCGTCTCTCTCTACATCCCAGGCGGTCCTAATTTTCTCTGGGTACCTTCTGCAAGTTTTCTCCCTTTACGACCTCGGTGAGGAAAATCCAGCATCCTAAATGCTGTTTATCCAGCCAGTTTGGAAAAGACAGCTCTAGACCTTATCCTGAAGCATTCCCAGAGCACCCAGCAGAGATCAGCACCTCTCAGGGCTAGGAGAGATGAGCACTGAGGCTTTGTTTGCTCTCTCAAACTGTCTTTAAGGGCTTGGCTGGTGCATCCTTTCCCCTTGGACATGATAATTTCCCTGGTGGAACCAGGTGTGTCTGGGCTGGGTTTGGAGGGTCATGGTGCAGTGCTGGGGGTGTTTGATCAGGGGGGATACCTTGGCTGGGTGAAAAGTGAGTGCTGTTGGGTGTACTGAGTTATCCTGAGCCTTTGCCAGGTAGTTTCTGATCTCTGCAGCCCTGGGCTTGAGCCCTGGATTTGCAATTGAGTGTTGGAAAATGTTTGCTATGGAGGGAGAGGAAGGCTCTGAAATGGGTCTGTTTCTAGAGGTGGAGGCATTGCAAAGGTTTAAGGAAGTGCAAAATTTTTACAGATTCCAGGTTTTGTTTCAAGATTTACTTGTCTTCTGTCCCCTGGTGTTCATGGCCCAGCAGCACACATTGCATCAATTTTCTAAAGATGCCTGAGAGAGCTGGGAGATGTGTCCACACAGAGAGGTACAGAAAGAGACCGAGATGTGGATTTTCAATCCCTGTCTCCACAGCCTTTCCCTGGGAGGGGATGCTGGGCAAATCCCTGAATCCTCTGTGCTCCCACTCAGCCGGGGCTGCCCCATCCCCTCCTCTCTGGCTCTGCCCTGTGGACACCTGCAAACTCTGTGCTGGTGCATTTTCATCCTGCCAGGCCCTGCCTCCTTCCTACCTTCTGTTCCCCTTTTCATTACACCCCCTTGTACAGTAAAGCCTCCCGTCACGCTGCCATTACTATTATTATTGCAGATTTACTGCACTTGCAGAGTGAAGTGATTGCAGTGACAAGGCCCAGCATTTTTCCCTCCTTCCCCCCGCGACAGCTTGAAATCAAGCCCTTCATTTGCATTTACATGATCTTGCTGTGCAGCTTATGAGATCGGGAGATTTATTTGCTACTTAGCTTGATGTTTGATTACACTCTAAGAAGGCAGTGAGCTACAAAGTGCAGGGATACATCAGAACTGAGCTACTGAAAGCCTCTGGGGGACAGTAACTCAACATCAGGTTTAGGTAGATGAGAAAGGGAATGTTCAGTGTTTTGAGAAAGGCAAATTTGATGAGATTTTTTTTTTTTTTTTTAAAGGTGGAAGGAAAAACTTACCTTTTATTTTGGTGAGAAAGTAAAACAAGAATGTTGTTATAAAAACACACCTGAAAAATCTGGGTTTGTTAGTGCAGAAGAAATCCTAGCAGAGGCTGGTGGCTGCTGGGCTGCCTGGCACCAACTGCTTGTAACTTCCACTCCCAAGAAGATTATTAATAATAAGTTGGCAGTTGTCTTTAAAGGTTTTCATAAGCATTAAAGGTCAAAGCCAAAGTAAGTTTTGCTTGATGGACAAGCATGAGATCTGTCCCTGATTTATTAAGCTTCAAAGCATGCCACTGAGCATTAATATTCTGTAACAAAGGGGAAACTGAGGCAGGGAATCAGTGTGCCCATGAAGGACAGCAAAGGGAATGGAGTTTGGACTGGGGAGAAAAAAGAGTGAGATCAAATCATTCAGGTGTCCTATAGCAGTGTAAGAATCTTTTCCTTTCCAGAGAAAAGGGTGATGGTTGGGCAAACTGCTGCCCTTGGAGTCAGAAATGGCAAAGCTCGAGGATCTTGCTGTGAGTTTGACTCCTTTCATTACAAGCACTCCACACAGATCAGCCACACTGCTAACCCAGAGTACATCTACAAGTGCAATCTCCACTAACCTGTGCTCCTGACTGACCTGCCCTAGGAGCTTCAGCCTGATTAGACACCAGCCTTTGAGTGTCAGGTGTGGATTTGAATGATTTTCCCCTCTAGAAGCCGTGTTTTGTGTAAGGCCAGCAGCAGAGCTGTCCCCCTTGCTGAGTTAGAGAGGTCAATGAGAGAAGGCAGGCAGCCCTTCCATCCCAGATTCTCCCTGCACAGCCCCTGGCACCAGCCCCTTGCCATTTTCTTGCTCCCAAAAAGGCAGGAACACCAACAAGCAAGGGCCACACACAGAGCCTGACACAGAACCCCAGTCCAGGAAGCACCCACTGTCTGATACACTCACTGCACATTCCAACTGTTTGCACTTAGCTTTTAGTCTTGAAAATTGCCATGAGATATGCTATTACAATTAATCATTAAAGACTT